AAGCCTAGGCAAGAGTTGCTATTGAATAACCTATAGTTGCGTGGCTGGCTGACACTCGTGTCCCCGCTATCTCTTCGGTGCAAGTCTCTGTTGCTGGATCTGCTCCTGATTGGGCTCCAGTTATGTCATCGTACAGTATTCCTGCGCTTACCAGTCCGTCAACTACCTGGTCCCCTCTTTCCCCACGTTGGTCTCAGCATTTTGCTGCATGTCCTCCGCTTTTGAGAAGGTGTCTGCAGTTGTATCTATTTGCTCACCAGATCCCCACTGCATCGGCATTCCCTGTTGCTTCGGACCCCGGCTGCCGTTGCTCCGCCTCTGTCTCGTGTTCGTGCCCTGAAGCGTGCTGCGGTCCCTGGTCAGGGCGGTACCCACCAGAGAGGCCGATGGCACACTCTGCAAGAACTACAGGGTACATACCGCCCCTCTGCTCAGGAGGCCTTTTTCGTAAGCATCTCTCCGCCGAAGCCCAGCTGGCCCGCACATTCGCTATCTTACCTTGAACTGTGGGGGTTTGTCTAGTGACGTCTATCAGGAGCTTCTTGGTTGCTGTGCAGGAGACTCATTGGCGGGAGGACAGTCCTTCTGAATACACCACAGGGCCTTGGCGAGTTGTCAATTCCCGCAGGCATGGCTACAAGGCTGCTGGTGTGCTTGTTCTCACACACCACACCCTCCTTAGGGATGCTGTGCTGACTTACTCAGAGCCATGCCCAGGTCGTATTCTGCACCTTCGTGTCACACACCGGTCCTGGGCCCTGGATTGCGTCGTTGTCTACCAAACGGCCCCTCAACTGGCAACGGAAAGCTGCCAATGAAGCTCCTGAGGCTGAGCCCTCAGTCCTGGAGGATGCCGATGTTCCAGCTTCTCTACGTGCCCACGTCATGGAGTGGCATCGAGACATTCACTACCACCTTAAAGTTCAGGGTCAGCAAGTTGAGATCGTTGCCTCGCGTGGCATCAAACTAGTTGCACCATTAGTCTGGGCGTTGGTCACCGGTCGATTCCTGATTCCTGTATCTCCCTGCGCTTGAGACTGACCCTCTGTGGCTCGCACACGGTGTGACGGCCTATGCAGATGACTTTCCCGCCGGCAGTCAGGTGCATGATCTGCAAGGCCTGAATCCGCTTGCTCATCGACTGGGATGACTACTGGATGTGTTAGCGCAAGCGGGTCTTCTCATCATTGCCTTGAAGTCGGCTGTGCTGTGTAGATTTAAGGGCACTTTTGTTAAAACATGGCTGCGCCAACATACTCGAGTCACTTCGGATGGGGATCTCTTCAGATTCCGAACTCCCTCAGGCACTCTTTTTGAGTTTCCTATAGTGAATACGCATACCTATCTTGGCACATGCATCAGCTATCACGGTCCCAGTGCTCAAACACTTCAACACCGTCTAGACCTGGCAAAGATTGAGTGGGCACCTCTTCGCAAGGTTGTCTGTTCCAAGCATATTGTCTCTACCTGCAGGATCGCGTGCACCTCGGGCGCTCCAGTGCTTATGGCCTGGTGACACCCTTCGTCAGGAAATGGCGCGATTGCTTGACAATGTTCTTGCCCTTACCCGGAAGGACTCGGTCCTTGCTACCGAGGCCCTCATACAGTTTGCTCAGCACCTCCCTGACACACTGTACCACCCCTTGGGTGCGGATGGTGGCGCACTGATGAGGCTATGACTTCCAGCCTGAGCCTCTGTGTCATTGCCGTTTCTGCCAACTGAGCTTTGCCACACATGCCCTATCCCGTTCTCACGAATCCAAGCAGCATGGCCAGAGAAGCACACCTGAGGCAGGCCCTGCTTTTTGTCGTTACACCCATGGGCTTGGATGGCATGCCTATGTCAGCTCTGTCTCCGCCCTTTCAGGAAGTGGAGCAACCTGGCTAAGCATATCAACAAAGCATCAGTGTCCTGTCCTTACTGGTTACAGCCATTCCTACTGCCTCACCACCTGGTTTATCTGCTCCCGCTCAGGAGACTCCTCACGTGCCAGACTCCCCCTCTCTTGAGGCACCCTTGAGTCCGACGGCTGCCTGTGCTGCCAATGCCGATGCTGTCTCGTCTGCTCAGGCTCATACTCTGCAGCAGTCGATATTCTCTGCTCCACATGCTCTTGCTGATGTAACACCACCGCTCCCGCTGGCCCTCAGGTCGGATGTTCAGGAGGTCTTGGCCAGGTCACACTGGCATGCTCTTCTTCAGATGGCCGAACTGCGGACTGACCTGCAGCACCATTGTCCTCTCTGTCCAGTGGTGCATGGACACTGCCGCCATCAAGCGTCACACTGAAGATTTTTGAAACGTAGTCAGTCATCTAAAGTCCTTTCGCAGAACCCTTGTCTTCCCCTGTAGATACTGTGGGCTCTCGCTCAACCGTCATACGCATTGGCATACATGCATTGTTCTACAAGTCAGCTGTTACCTGGGTCTACAGTATGAGCGATCACATGGACGAGGATCTGGGCATGTCCTCTCGGGAATTGCAAGACTCCCAAGAAGGAGAGAGACGATGGTGCCCCTCGTCTCGGACGGCAGACTGTGCGCGATGACGATGGTACCCCGGACCCCAACAAGGCTCGTCTTGGGCAGATACCGGAGATGCAAGCGGCAGCCGCGTCCCACTCCTCTGACAGGGGAGCGGACGGGAAAAGGGGGGGGTCATCCCAAACACAAAGGGAAGAGTGGGAAAGGCCACACCCATCCCAGCCCTTGGGCATGGCACTCGGAGTGGGACGCGCAAGACTGGCCCAGTCATGGAATCGGTCGCAAGGATTGGACATGGAGAGCCTCGTGTGTCAGTTGATGATTCGGCACGAATACGCCGTCAACTCGTTGAAGCAAGAAGCACACGGTTTACATCTTCGTCAAACCTGGGGCCCAAGGTCTTCTGCCGATCCTCTTCAACATCTCCGACGAATAGCACCGGCTGCAAAAGCAGACACCCGAGAAGACGGAGGAGTCGCTGAGAATTGTGCTTCTGAAAGCCATGCTCCTCGAGTTGGGGCAACCCCTTCGCAACTGCATGAACCACGAAGAGTCTCTGCAGACAGCGAAGGATCTGGGATGGAGCAACGAGGCGGGCCAATGGAAGCAGTTGATATGGAATCCACAGACCGAGGCTCTGGAGGAGGCTCCCTCAGGTCGTACCTGGACGACGGAAGCCATCATCAAGAAAACGGTCCAGCTCAGGAAACTGGTCGACCAAGACACGGTCTTTCGATTCCAGTCTCTCAGAGGATTATCCGAGGCTCCCCAAACGGCGTGGGTCCAGCTTGCTCTGGAATTGAGTGTACGAGGGAATGGCGTGCGAGCCTGGGAGATTGTCCAGTCCTGGATCGGTTGCGCGGCCTTCCACACATTGGGATGCAGATTGCATCGCGAGAATTGAGGACTCTCGCAACAAGCTCGCGCGGTCTGAAGTGGCTCCCAATGCCCAGATAAGTGTAGACCTAAGCAGTTGGATTCTTGCACATGGTCCTGTTGGTCTCTTTCAGGCCCTTCAATGTCTCTTGTGGCCGATGTGGGCGGACCCTGCTCGATGCAAATTTGTGTCCGGCGCTGCCAAGCACTTGTGGAAACGCATTGCACAGGCTCCATCTGTCCCGCTGAGCCTGCGAAGTGATCTCTTTTGGATGTCGATTGCATCCCAGTGGCGCTACGTACAGGTTGCCACTCCTGTAGATCTCGAACCTTTTGATGACAGCCCAGAGGCTCTGATTCGCTCACGCATCATGATCTTGCCTCTATGCCCGCACACTGTCCAAGACACTGCAGGCTCAGGTGGATGCCTGGGATTTTAGCATCGGTAGGCCGCTGCTGCATTCCATTGGTGACACGATTTACTTAAGTCTCGAGACTCCTTGCATTCGATTTCAGGGGGATCGCGATGCACTACGGCCGTTCCTCTGGCCGTTTCTACTGATTGGGGATCTCGTTTGGATGCCGGGGTTGAGCCCTGCAAAGGTTCCCATCCAGTACGGTTACGAAATCAGAACTCTGATATACCAGGAAGGCTCCGGCACCGCTCTCACTCCAGCTCGATACAAATCTTCACACTGGAAAAATGCCACTTCATTGTCCGGCTCTACTGATGGCGCTCATCAGTTATGCTTTGTAGTTTTTTCTGGGGCCATAAGCGCTTCAGAATTCTGCAGATACCGCGGCTCATGAGCACGGTATCGAACCCCTGAGGTTCCGGCAACAGGCCGTGCGACTCGCTAGGTGGATCGAACTCCGCTGCGTGCTGAATGAACACCACTACCATGACGACTACGACGACGACGACGACGACTACTACTATTATTACTACTACTACTACTACTACTACTACTACTACTACTACTAGCACTACCGTTACTACGACAATCACGACTATAACGACGAGAGCGACCACGACCACGACGACCACGACTAGCACCGCCACTGCCGCTGCCACTGCCAGTACTACCACTACTTCCACGACTACCACGGCTACCACGACTACCACGACTAGCACCACTACCATTCCTACCGCTATAACCGCCATCACCGCAACTACCGCTACTACCGCAACTGCCGCGACTGCCACTACTACCGTTAATACCGCTAGTTCCACTGATACCACTATTACCACTATTATATACGACTACTGCTACGACTACCACGACGACGACGACCACTACAACTATGATGATTACGAACGACGACGACTACGACTGCTACGACTACGACTGCTACTGACGACGACAGCAACAACTCCTCCCACTCCATTCCAACTCCTCCCTGCCCCGCCGCTGCTGCTGCTGCGACTGCTCTTGCAGCTAGCTGTGCTACCCCTGTTGCCACTGACCTTGCCAACGTTACCGACTCCGATGCCCGCGGCTACTTAGTAGTAGGTTGTCGTCGTCGTTGTCGACGTCATCTGCGTCATTGTTTTGTCGACCTCCGCTAGCATCATCAGTTGGTCGTGCGGCGATAGGCGATTGCCGCTCGCCAGCATCGGATGGCTCAGGCTGCCCCGATGCTCTTCCCCATGTACACCGTCGCCGCAGACGTGCTGCTGAAAATGACGAAGGTCGAACCACACGAGAAGTTGAAGGCAGGAGGCAAGTTCGAAAAAAAAGTCGTAGCGAGGAGCATATGTGTCGTAGCGCGTGGGAACCCCGTTGACGAGCAACTTGCCGAAGAAAAAGGCATGCCAATATCCCGAACTCAACTTTACACTTTCCCTCCATTCGAGATGCTAAATACTGAACTGCCAGACAGGTTTCGGGTTTCCCTGGGGCCTTCACCCATGATGCTTCAAGGCCTGGGGCCAACTCGTGGACTTCAGCGACGGCTTGGGGAGAGCAGCTTTCGTTTCACACCAGTGGCTGACGAAGAAACACCCGGATCCCGAGTTCAGGCAGATGCGCACTCTTCAGGATGCTGTCAAGCGGATCCTGACCAGCTCCGGGTCCATTTCCCTGGACCCCGCTACAGAGGCCGTGGTGCCAACGGCCAAGCCCCGTCCTGTGAAAGACTTCCAGACCAAAGCACTGTTCTTCTGGTACGATTACTTCTCGTGCCCGCAGTTACATCATGCGACACCAGTTGAAGTTGCCGTACAAAGAACAGACAGCCGCATCCAGCAAGCCGACGCCATCAGCAGCATCCCAGCATACGTCGCCAGGTGTGACTTTTTCCTTGGCCTATGTCCGGTTCTTGACTGCCCCGTCGAGAGCAGGGTGCTGACGGCAGGGACCTGGAGCAGGAGGGGGTGGTGCCGCCTAGAACGAGCAGCACGCGAGCTGTCGCCAAGCAGTACTTGGATTGTTATTCGAAGCGAGACTTCCATTGAAGCTGTTGGCACAGTGCTGTCCTTTCAGAGCGGTGCCGTGGGGGAAGGTGACTTCGCCGTACCGGAGGATCGGCAAAAGCTGGCCCCGGTGATGCGGAAGATCCTCATGCAGAAGCTGAACCACTGCCTGCGTGTGGGTGACCTGCCCGGGTTCCGGCGCCATTTCAACCTGCAGACGATTTACCTGCAGGGGCTGGAGATCGAGCCAGTGACCGGGTCGCTACCCAGCTGTGAGGGTAGTGATGATGTGGTGATGGAGTTCCTACACCAAAACGGCTTGAGGACGGTTGGCTCTGCCGACAGCGCTGGGTGGCGGCCTCTGCACTACGCGGCACTGGGCGGCAACGTAGAGGTACTTAGAGGCCTGCTGGAGAAGCGCGCCGAGGTTAACCGGCGCACATGGAAGGATGAGCCGTCGCTGGGCTTTCCTCCCTGGATGTCGGCATTGGATTTGGCAGTATTTTTCAAGCAGCACAAGGCCGCGCGATTGCTTCTCGCGGCGAGAGCTCACCTCAAGGGTGGACTTTCACCGGCTGTCATCCTTGCGGCCGCTAGAGACAATGCCGAAGGTATCCGACTGCTGTGTGCATCGGGTGCCGATCCACTGGCGCAGAATCTACTTGGAAACCCCACCTTGGGGTGCGCGGGTGGCTTGGCAGCCACAGAAGCCCTGGAAGAGTTGTTGGTGCAAGGACGCCCAAGCTCGATGGATCTTTCTCGGGCCCTCTTCGATGCCACAATGTTGCTGGGCGGATCGGCTGAGCTGGTGCAGAGGTTGATCGCCCTCCGCGCTGACGTGGACTTCCAGTTCGACATGCCGCGGGATTGGAGGAGACTGGGCCGGTTGCTCCTTGCAGCGAAGTCCATGCAGCACCGGCTCCGCCGTACGACCGCACTAACGGCCATCGCTTATCATGCAGATGGCAGCACGCCACTGATGCAGGCCATCAGGTCGGCTCAATTCGACGGCGCCGCAGCCCTAATCGCTGCCGGCGCGAGACTGGACCTCAGCAACTGCCGGCGCTGGACCGCGGCTGATTTTGCTCGCGGGCAGTCGATCCCACGTTTTTTGCAGCTGGGTTTGGAGGGGGACCCGTCGGAGTGCCGAAGGGTGTCCTTGCTCGCCCTGTCGAACGGCTGCTTTTCGATTTGACATGTTTCTGGAATGCAGTGGAGATGCGCATTGGCACAGTATCATGGTGTAGTTTCCCACTAGAAAGGTGTCCCTGCTCCTGCTGTCAGCCGGCTCCATTGCAGCTTGACTTGAATTTGCAACACCGATTAGCTGGCAGAACCCTCCCGAAGGTGTGAGGGCACAGCTTCATTGCGCAGTTTTCCGAGCTGGAGTCACTTGTGGCAAGCATGGATCGGATCGAGGGTTGGGTTCGGCCACAGTTTCAGAAGTACGACCATGGTACACAAGCTGAACCACCAGTAGCCGTGACTTGTGCGTGACTCCACACTCCCACGACCGCACAAGATTTAGTCTGCTTGTGCTCCCTGAACCCTAAACCCTACACCTTGCGCCGTAAATCCGACTTTGTAGACGTACTTCGAAGCTGCTGAAGCCCCCTGATCGGGGGGGCTCGGCGGGCGGAAGCAACATAGCCCAAGGTGAGGCATTGCGGAAAAAAGGGGATCTCGTTTTGCTTGGACGACGCGTTCTTCCGTGCACAGCTTTTGGATTTAGGTGTTTTGGGGTTTAGGGTTTAGGGTCTCGGGGAGGTGCAACATATAGCAGCCAGCAGCTTGCTAAAGTCTGCTAGAGCTCCCGGAGAGAACTTGAGATGACGGGTGGCATCATGGATGCTTATCTATGCTTATCTTCTGCGGTTTTTTTTTCGACACCTGCGTTGGAGACCCCTCAATCCGAAGTTTCGGCTGCTTGACCCTGATGAACAAAAGCAAGGTTTTGTCCCTGCTGTGAGTTACTCGGGTGAAATGCCTTCCAACAGAGTGCTTGCAATGTACATATCTTCCGCTCGGACTTCTCTGCCCTTGCACCCGCGCCGGGATGAATATTAAACAGTGTTACAATTACCACCAGTTGTACTAGTACTAGTGCTACTAGTACTCCGCCTCCTCCTCCTCCTCCTCCTACTCCACCTCCTCCACCTCGTCTTCCTACTAATTCTGCTGCGGCGGCTACTATTCCTGCTACTGCTACAACTACTACAACTACTACTACAGCAACAACAACAACAACTACTACTACTACTACTACTACTACTACGACGACGACTACTACTACTCATTCTGCTGCTGCTGCTGCTGCTGCTGCTGCTACAGTTATTGTTTTTGCGTAAAACATGTTTTGCACTCAGATGTGCCCACCCCAACCCCGCCCATGTGCTAGGAACTGCAGCACATGGGTAGAGGCGGACGCGTGCACCTTGAGGGCAGTGCACATCTTCCACACTCCCCCTGGCCCAGTGACCTGTGGGCATTGGGGCATGCTTCGACAAGATGATGCTGCTGCCACCGTTTCTGTCTTTGGAGGCCACTGGGCATGAGCCACCGCACCAGCTGTTAGGCGCCCCCCCATCACCACACTGCTCCTTGCTGGTGAACTGCATTGGCCCCCCGCTTTCTGAGATTCACAATCCCCCGCTTTCTGAGACAAAGGCCGGCCTGCGAACTCACCTGTCACAAAACCCTGCACAACACAAATGCAGCCGAGCACCTCCTCGAGTCACCTCCCAGCTTCACCAACCTGCAAAGAGCTGTCCACACGGAGCTTGTCGCAGAGGTCCGTGACTTGGGCGTCATAACCTGCCCGTTGGGCAGGCAAGAACTCAATGCCCGACCCGACTGCCTTTTCCCGGCAGCGCAAACTCTCACGAAACGAACTGTCAGATGCTACCTGATCTGTGAAAAGAATCTGTTCAACTCTAAGCTATTCTGAGAGAAATGAGTCTGGAGCCCTAGCAACTGGACCAAACCGGACCTGAATGCCCTGACTCCATGCCTTTGTGCAGGCATGCAGTTCGTGTGCAGAGCATGCTGCTCAAAGGCATGGAGTCAGGGCATTCAGGTCCGGTTTGGTCCAGTTGCTAGGGCTCCAGACTCATTTCTCTCAGAATAGCTTAGAGTTGAACAGATTCTTTTCACAGATCAGGTAGCATCTGACAGTTCGTTTCGTGAGAGTTTGCGCTGCCGGGAAAAGGCAGTCGGGTCGGGCATTGAGTTCTTGCCTGCCCAACGGGCAAGTGTGGAAGATGTGCACTGCCCTCAAGGTGCACGCGTCCGCCTCTACCCATGTGCTGCAGTTCCTAGCACATGGGCGGGGTTGGGGTGGGCACATCTGAGTGCAAAACATGTTTTACGCACTCAGATGTGCCCACCCCAACCCCGCCCATGTGCTAGGAACTGCAGCACATGGGTAGAGGCGGACGCGTGCACCTTGAGGGCAGTGCACATCTTCCACAGTTTTTATTGCTGTCCTGCTCCTGCTCCTGCTCCTGCTCCTGCTCCTGCTCCTGCTCCTGCTCCTGCTCCTGCTCCTGCTCCTGCTCCTGCTCCTGCTCCTACTCCTACTCCTACTCCTACTCCTACTCCTACTCCTACTCCTACTCCTGCTGCTACTACTACTGCTACTACTACTACTACTACTACTACTACTACTACTACTTCTACTCCTACTACAACAACAACTACTACTACTACTACTACTACTACCACTACCTACTACTACTCCTACTACTCCTACTACTCCTACTACTCCTACTACTCCTACTACTCCTACTACTACTACTACTACTACTACTACTACTACTACTACTACTACTTCTACTACTACTACAACAACAACAACTACTACTACTACTACTACTGCTCCTGCTGCTGCTGCTGCTATTGGTTTAAAGGTTTGGGATTCAAAACCTTGAAAGCCTGGAAACTGCAAAATCCGGCAACCTGGGTTTAGGTTTAGGCTAACCAGTGATATTGGAGGAGCTAAGGAGCCAGGGATGATGATAATCCCTATTAAATAAGGAGCTAAAGAGCCAAGGGAACCCCAAAACCACTGGTTAGTAGGCCTCCAAACCTAAAGTGGTTCACAGTGTGGCTCGAGGGCTAAAGACCCCTAGGCAAACCTTAAGCCGCACAAATGGAGGGGGTCAGAAGCACAGCAAGGTTTGGTTGGATTGATTCTAAATTCGCTGAATTGAGTGCTGCTTGCATGCTTGCAAAGTGTTTGCCAAGTCCCATGACCATTCAGCTTCCCGGAAACTGCTGAGTGCCGAAGGCTTTCTGATTACGGGCGAATACGCGAATCACAACAGCCGCGCATCCGGGTTTTCTGGCCTTCTCACAACACTTTGTGCATCACCAGCCGTTTGCATTGCCATGGCTTGCTGCCTTTCCGGGCAGTCTTGGACGCCTCTTGAGATCTATGCCTGGTCATTGCAGGATGACGCAGATGCCGCTGGGCATGGTAATAGAGGGGCCGTAATTATTACCTATACTATTGTGGGGGTGCCTTATAATTGTTGTATAATGGGCATCGTATATAACAGGTGACAGGGCTCGTTGAACAGTCTCGGATTTGGGCTTTAAGGTTAGGGTTTTGTTGACTTGTATTGGCTATGTGCCCGGACTCTCAGAACGCATAATTAATTGGGATGCTGCAGAGCTTATCCCGCGGTGGCTGTTACTACAGACAACAAATACCACGTATGCTCAAGCGGCTTCCGTGACCAGTACTGCAGAAGTTTTTTCTACTTTTGGTTTGCAAGGGATATCACTGATATCACCACTACACTTTTTTCTCCTTGCTGCTTCTCCTGCTGTTGCTGCTGCAGGATCAACAACAAGAACTCCTCCTCCCCCTCCTCCTTCTCCTGGTCCTTTGTCTTGTGCTTTGTCCTCCTATTCCTTTCCTTCGGGTCCTTTTCGACTTCGGCACGTGCTCCTGCTGCCACCGTCGCTGCTACTGCTGCTGCTGCTGCTACTACTACTATTGGTAATTGTAGCGCCGCTCACTGGTGCTGACACTGCCACGGCTACTGCAGTTGCGATGTTTGCCATCACGTCACAATGTAGCGCTGGCATATCATGTCCTGGTCGTAGTCATCGTCGTCTTCTCTGTGCCTTTGTCGCCTTCGTCGTCGTGGTCGTGGTCGTTGTCGTGGTCGTCGTCGCTGTTCAGTATCTTGGTCTCATGGCTGTCTTTGTGATCACCTTTTCCGCATCAGTTGGTCCTGCGGCGAAACGGCGATTGCCGCTCGCCCGCATCGGATGGCTCAGGCTGCCCCGATGCTCTTCCCCATGTACACCGTCGCCGCAGACGTGCTGCTGAACATGACGAAGGTCGAACCACACGAGAAGGGCAGGGGACTTAGTAAGTAGGTTATAAGTAGAGTTATAAGTACCCTAAATGGAGTTACCCCAATTATAACCCTACTTGTAACCCACTTACTAAGTCCCCTGCCCTTCCAAGTATTCGGAAGCGAGAGTTTAGTCAGGGAGCACGCTTGGTTTGGTTGTGGCTTCATGTCGGTCGTAGCACGTTGGAACACCGGCGACGAGCCACTTTGTAGTGTCGATGGGCTGGCAAGCGGCGATCCCGCCTTCGGTCCGAAGGCTTGCCATTCTCCGTAGGATCTCACTAGTCAGAACTGTTATAGGATTTAGGGCTTAGGGCTGCGCGGCCTTGGGTTGAGTTTCAGGGCCCTCATCCCCTCCTGGTTCAAGGCACAGGGCAACCTCGTGGACTTCAGCGAGGAGTTGGGGGCAGCAGCTTTCGTTTCACACCAGTGGCTTACGAAGCAGCACCCCGATCCCGACTTCCAGCAGATGCGCACTCTGCAAGATGCGCTCAAGCGGATCCCTGAACGGCTCGGGGTCTCTTTCCTTAGACCCCATCACAGAAGTCGTGGTGCGAACTGCCAAGCCCCTTCAGATGAAAGATTTCCAGACCAAGACCTTGTTCGTCTGGTACGACTATTTCTCATGTCCGCAGCTCCAGTATCCGGCGCCTTCTGTCTCGGATGAAAAAGGCAGCCTGCAGCAAGTCCGTGCCATCAACAGCATCCCAGCATACGTGGCCAGGTGTCAGTTTCTCCTTGCTCTTTGTCCGGTCCTCGGCTCTCCGATCGAGAAAAAAGTGCTATCGCCGGCGACCTGGAGCAGGAGGACCGCGGCTGATTTTGC